GTTGCCAGGGTTACCAGGAGACGCTGCAGTTTGCCCTGGAGATTTTGTTAACACGCTGATTAGGAAATATGGGAAGCGGGCGTGGAGCAGGAGAATAAATCCAACCCAGCCAAGAGCAAGCTTTAGAGACAAAGACTGCAAAACAGTATGGGAGAAAAAAAAATACAAAACAAAAACCTCTAAGAATACATAAGCCACCCTCTGGAAGTTGAGAATTAGCTTTGAGTTATTTAATGTATGTGGGGAGGACAGATACACAAATCTATCGTGTCAGGAATCATCTGGGTCCTTCAAATGGCTCTGAATAGCTGAATCATTTACACACCCGGACAACTCCACAATCAATTTTTAACCTTTTTTTTTCTTTTGGTTTTTTTTCAAGACGGGGTTTCTCTGTGTTAACAGTCCTAGCTGCTGTCCTGTAACTCGTTTTGTTAGACCAGGCTGGCCTCGAACTCACAGAGTGCTGGGATTAAACGCTTGCACCACCAATGCCCAGCTGCACACAGTTAATCTTAAGAAAAATGTATCTTATGGGGTTGGGAGGGGGAGAAGGAGCAGGATAGCTCTCAGAAGAGTCTCAGAGATTTTAGAATAGTGTAATAGTGTTCAGGATGAAAATTTACTGGGGTACAGCAGGGCGTTGGTGGCGCACGCCTTTAATCCCAGCACTAGGGAGGCAGAGGCAGAGGCAGGCGGATGTCTGTGAGTTCGAGGCCAGCCTGGTCTCTAGAGTGAGTTCCAGGACAGCCTCCAAAGCTACACAGAGAAACCCTGTCTCAAAAAACCAAAAAAAGAACATTTACTGGGTTAGGTAAGAGATACCTCTGGAAGAGCTGTCAGTGCCATCTCTCCAGCCCAAAGCTAACATTTTTAATTGCCACAGTTTTAAGGATTCTACACAGAAAGAAAAAAAAAAAACACACCCAGAAAACTAAAAACAACAACAACAACAACAACAACAACAAAAAGAAATAAGCGAACCAAACAAACACTTCAGCAGGACTTAAAGAAATTTGTGGATTCTGAATATTGGCTTTTTATTGCATGGCGTGAACTAGACTACTGCCACAGAAATTTGTAATATATGCTGTTTGTGTTAGGGTTTTTTTGTTTTTGTTTGTTTGTTTGTTGTCAACTTGACACAAGCTGGGGTTATCTAGGAAGAGGGAACTGAAATTAAAAGAGTTGCCTTCGTCAGATTGGCAGGTCTGTGGGGTATTTTCTTGATTACTGATTGATGCTGGAGGGCCCAACCCACTGTGGGTGGCCCTGGGAGGTATCAGTAAGGTGGCTGAACTGGAGCCGTGGGGACAAACCAGCCAGGAGCATCCTGCATGGCCTCTGCTCTGGTTCTTGGCTCCCGGTTCCTGCATGAGTTCCTGTCATGACTTCCTTGGTGATGGACTGTGAGCTGTAAGATAACTAGATTCTGTCCTTCCCAAGTTGCCTTTTAATGGTGTTTGTCACAGAGACAGAAAGCTAGCTAGTTTTGGCGCCGCCCCAACCCCCACATTTTTTGTTAGTGTGAAGTTTTTATGACAGATACATTTTGTAAATTTCTAAGTTTTTCAAATAGTGAATCCCATTTATTTATTTATTTTGAGGCAGGGTCTCACTGTGTAGCATTGGCTGGCCTAGAACTCTAAGGGAAACCAAGCCTAGAACTCACAGAGCTCCACCTGCTCCCAAGTGCTGGGATTAAAGGCGTGCGCTGCCACAACTGGTCCTGTCTCTTTTTTTTTAATTATTATTCTTTAGGTTTTTAAGTTTGAGAACAGCACTGAAGAGGTTTTTTATATAAACTATTATTTTATTAATGTAGGTGTTTTGCCTTCGTGTATGTCTGTGCATCACACATGTCTTGTGCCCACAGAGGCCAGACGAGAGAGCTCCAGATCACCTGAAAGGAGTTGCTGTGAGCCTGGTGTGGGTGCTGGGAATCAAACCCAGGCCCTCTGCTCCTTGCCGCTGAGCCAGCTCCCCAGCCCCACACTTAAAGTTCTAAAATATATAAAGCTGTTAAAACACCCGACTTCATTGCAGGAGGCTTTGTCACTTGTCTGTTAAGAGGGCCCTAGTTCTCTGTCAGCGACAGCTTCATTTCATATCAGAGACACGTAGTTCTTTTTCATCAAGAAAGTCTTCAAATATGATTTTTTTTTATAAAGCATTGTTTGTGCACCAAAACCTGCTCTGCCATTCTGTCCCAGCCTAAGGTGAAGACTAAAATACCATCCAGGCAATGGTGGCGCACACGTTTAATTCCAGCACTAGAAAGGCAGAGGCAGGCGAATCTCTGTGAGTTCAAGGCCAGCCTGGTCTACAAAGCTACACAAAGAAACCCTGTCTCAAAAAAACAAAACAAAAGACTAAGATAGCATGCCGGAGGAATGGTTGGACTCAGCTAATGTTAACAGTTATTATCAGAGAGAAGATTCAAAACAGCCTTCTTCTTGGGAGAAAAACAACCACCCCACCCCTTTTCCTCCAGACACACTCAGGGATCCCTGCTACCCAAACTGAGCTAAATCATAATATGCAGTGGGTCACATCTATTTTCTTATACCATGTTTCAGCCATGGCGGCTAAGGATTGCCCATCACTGTGGAGCTTTGGAACAACAAAGACGTTCAAAATTCCCGTGGAGCATTTGGATTTCAAGTATATTGAAAAATGTTCAGACGTGAAACACCTGGAAAAAATTCTCTGCGTGCTGAGGTGGGCATTTAAAAAAAAAAACTTCACACTTTAACATGCCAGTTTTTTTTGTTTGTTTTGTTTTGGTTTGGTTTTGGTTTTTTGAGACAGAATTTCTCAGTGTAGCTTTGGAGCCTATCCTGGCATTCGCTCTGGAGACCAGGCTGGCCTCGAACTCACAGAGATCCGCCTGTCTCTGCCTCCCAAGTGCTGGGATCAAAGGCACACACCACCAGCGCCCAGCTCAACATGCCAGTTTTAATGATACCATTGCCCTCTATTTGTGAAGTGTTAGGGTAGGGAACTCCCAAATATTGAGACTAGAATGTGGGTTCCATGTTGGTTTACACTGTGATTCTGGAGGGCTCTGGCCCATGTACTTCCCACATGGGACATAGGTTGATTTGGATCCAAGGGAGTCGTCATCTTCTTTGCTCTGCATTGTCTAAGAAGAGGTAAACCAGGCATAATCGAAGCTGCTGGGGAAGGCGTGACCACACAGGGTGACTCACTGCTGCCTGGTCACAGGGAAGATGGTGGGGGGTCCTGAAACAGGAAGTTACTAGAGCCCCACTGTGGTGCTGTCAAACTGCATGCATCCCTGAGTGTGTGTGGTTGTTAAAAATACAGGTTGAAGGGACTCGTTCCCAGCCATTCTACTTCAGAAAGCCTGAGGAGGAAAACTGTGCTGTTAACAACGCAATGGATTGTTGTGTGGGGGTCTCGGGAAGCGCTGCCCTGTGGACTGCCAACCAAACCCCGTTTGGGTTTCCTTCGAGATTTGATTTGGCAAACACTTGCGGATCATGAGCCAACCCCCTTGCCAGGACATAGTTGGCGATGCTTGGCTCTTCACTAATTCTTGTTTTTATTTTCTCTGACCCTCCCTGCTTCAAATAACACAGATTTATCCATTTTGATTTTGTATGTACGTCTACATATATGTACCACATGTATGCCAACGCCCAGAGAGGCCAGATAACTTCATTAGCTTTCGAGGGAAGGAATTCTGTTTCTTGAGTGGTTCGCTTTAGGGGTGTTTTGATTAAGCTGTTTCTCTGCCATTTTCTCCTCCTCATATATTAAAAAAAAGAAAAGAAAGAAAAGAAAATGACAAGGGCTGGGGATGTTTTAGAATGCTTGCCTACTATTCAGGAGGCCCTGGTTTGACTTACATCAATGGAATTTGGTGCCAAATGCTTGCAATTCCAGCACCAGGAATGTGAGCCCAGAAGGATTAGAAACTCATGCTGGTCCTCAGCCACATATGGAGTTTTATGAGAGTTATATGGAGTTATACATCAGCATGCACCATACGAGACCTTGACTCAAACTCCCTGAAAAGGAAGCCTATGTTAACTCTCATCTTGACTCTAATATTGAATTTCTGAGACGTTTTCAAATTGCCTTGTCTGCATAAAATGAGCATATATGTTAGGTAGGATTCATAAACTTCAAGCTTATTATTTTATGCATATGGGTGTTGTGCCTGCAGGTAAGTCCATGCATACAGCCACCATGAAGGTCAGGAGGGTGGAGGGCGTCAGGGAACCTGAACGGGAGTGACAACCTCTCATGCATGTGGTGCGCACTGTTTGCTTTGGAACCCTCACCCCCGTGTCTGCCTTGGATTCACTTATACGAATGGCCAATGCCGAATTCCAATCTTGCACAGCCCTTGAGAACAAAGAACCCCGGGGGTCCCAGGTTACCCAGTTTGCAAACCAACAGTCTAGAGGGCCTCTAAATAAGGTGCTAATCTAAAATTATAACCGCTCTTTAAGGTCCGGTGAAGAGGGCTATTATCCTGAACTCACAGAGTTTTGTGAAAAGCGCCTCATGGGCTTGGCTCCTGGAAGTCGAGCTCTGAGGAAAGATAAGCCCGCTGCAACGGCGTCCAGCTTCACAGCGGAGGAATGGGAAAAAATCGACAGTGACTTAAAGGTAGAGTGAAGACCAGTTTGGGGCAGCGTGTGTGTGGCTTGACATCTTCGCCTTTCTGCTTGTCAGTGGACGGCTTTTAGTGGTGGCCTCTTTTGTTTTGTTTGTTTGTTTTATGGAGACAGGGTTTCTCTGTGTAGCTTTGGAGACTGTAGACCAGGCTGGCCTCAAACTCACATAGATCCAGCTGCCTCTGCCTCCCTAGTGCTGGGATGAAAGACATGCGTCACCACCACCTGGCAAATGCTGGCTTCTTAATTCTAGACTAATATTGTGAGTTTGTGTGTGGGGATGCATCCTAAATTTCTGTGTCATGCTCAACCACAACCCAGTCACCATCCTTACCTTTAGATACAGATACTTGGGGCTGAGAGTGTTATCACCTGTAACCCTGGCACGTGGGAGGCAGAGGCAGGAGAATCAGAAAGAGCTGGAGCCTGGTCACACAGTTGGTGGGAAGACTGTCACCAGAAACAAAAGCAGAGAAACTCTATGGCTGGCTGTGGGGCTTTAAATCTGCTTTTGTACTTTCTTGACGATTATAAGGACTCGGGTTATCTTGGCAAAGAATTTAAAAATATTTTTGTTGGAGAGAGAGAGTCCGTGTCTGGGTTGAGGATGGCTCTGAGCGCCTAACCTCCGGCTTCTGCTTTGTAAGGGACCGCAGGCTTGTGAACCACACTGGGGTCTCTTTCGTCTTGATGGTAGTGCTTTTATAGTAAATCTTGAAATCTGGTAGTGACAGTTCTTAATTCTGTTGTCTTTGCCAGGGTCACTGTTGCTGTGCTGAAACACCACAGCTGAAAGCAACTCAGGGAGGAAGGGGTTATTCGGCCTACACTCCCACATCACAGTTCCTCATGGAAGGAAGTCAGGGCAGGAACCTGAGGCAGGAGCCGATGCAGAGGCCATGGAGGGGAGCTGCTTACTGGCTTGCTCGCCATGGCGTGCTCAACCTGCTTTCTTACAGCACCCAGAACACCAGTTGTGGGGTGGTCCTCCCCCGTCAGTCACCAATAAAGAAAATGCTCAACAGTCTTGCCTGGCAGCCCATCTTCTGCAGGCATTTTCTAAACTAAGGCTCCCTCCTCTCAGACAACTCTCGCTTGTGTCAAGTTGACAGAAAACCATCCAGAAACCCGTTCTTTTTGTTAGCTGCTGTGCTTTGTTCTGGTCCTCTGCTTTGCCAGTTTCTATACAATAAATGTGCTTCTGGTTGGACTGAACTCTTGAATCATTCTGTTATTGATATTATATTGTAGCTCAAATTGGCCTTGAATCTCGGTCTCTTACCTGTGTGTATCAAGGGCTGGGGTCGAAGGGTGCTGCACTTGCTTTGTGAATCAGTTTCAGGAGAACTATAACATCTCCTTGTTTTGTTCTGTTCCCTCTCGAGAAAGGGTCTTTCTATGTCTCCCCGGCTGTCTCGTAATGCACTGTGTTGAGGAGACTGGCCTTGGTCTCACAGAGAACCACCCGTGACTAAAGACATGCTCCAGCACACCTGTCTGCGCACTAGACCTTAGCAGTATTTCGGCTCCCACTTATAAACGTTGTATGTTTTCCCATTCATTTAGCTCTGCGAAAGAGTCTGTTTCCTACCCTCACAGATGAAGTGAGCCTGTCAGCACTAAGTATAACGTTAGCTTTAGATTTTATGTAGGTACCCTTTGTCAAACTAGGAAGCTCACTCCGATCCTTGGTTGGTTTTTGTTTGTTTGTTTGTTTGCTTGCTTGCTTGCTTTGTTTTGAGATAGGGTCTTTCTATGTAGCCTGGGCTGTCCTGGGTCTTTCCATGTAGATCAGGCTGTCCTGTGACTTTCCATGCAGACCAGGCTGTCCTGGGTCTTTCCATGTAGACCAGGCTGTCCTGGGACTTTTATATAGACTGGGCTTTCCTGGGTCTTTCTATGTAGCCTGGGCTTTCCTGGGACTTCTGTGTAGTCCAGGCTGTCCTTGAACTCACAGACTCACTCTCCTCTGCCTTCTGAGTACTGGGATTAGAAGCATGTGCCACCACACTCTATCTGTTCCTTGTTTAATAAGAATTTTTTTCATGAGCTTGTTTTAAATTTTGTAAAGAAGACGTCTTCAGAATTTATAGAGCTGATAAACAGTTTTATTTTGGTCTCTAAATATGATTTAATGAGATACACAGACATTCCATGCACACAAATGTGTGCGCGTGTGCGTGTGTGGTGTGTGTGTGTGTGTGTGTGTGTGTGTGTGTGTGTGTAGTATGTATGTGTGTGTGTGGTTCATGTTGGCGGAATTTCATTGACCTGTTTGTTATTTATTTAGTGTGTGTGTACATGTGGTGTAGCTCATGTATGTATGGGTACACGCACCTGTGTGTGTCCTCAGAGGGCATTCAGTATCCTCACTGTCACATTGCTCCGTCCTGTTCCTTTGAGGCAGGATCTCTCCCTAAACCCAGAGCTTGCATGCTTTTTGTTTTTGTTTTTGCTAACCCCCTTGACCTTTCTGTTTTCACCCCCAGCATTGCTAGGGCTACAGGTGTCCATGAGACCACTCCTGGCTTTTTGTGTGACTCTTGGGATCTGAACTCATGCCCTCATGGTTGCGTACCAAGGGGTCGTAGCCATAGAGCCATCTTTCCAATCCTGGAATTTAAGTATAAATTGTGTATGAGTTTATAATTACCATATTGATCTTTAAAGGTCAGCTTTATATCGTGTGATCTTGAATTCATAGATTAGTTCTGAGGCTTTATGTAGATGCATTGGATTTTGTTTTATCTTTTGAGACATTGGAACTTCTACTTGATACTTTTTCTAGTCCAGTCCAGCCAGGCTGCTATTTATTTGTTTGTTTGTTTGTTTATACTTGCCGTATTTTAAAACTACATTCATTTATTTGTTGTGTGTGTGTGCAAGAAAGAGATATCACAAAATTGTTTTTAAATGTACTGCTCTGGCAGGGAAGATGGCTCAGTAGGTAAAAGCCCCTGGAACCCGAGCCTGATGACCCGAGTCATCCCCAGAGCCTAACGGGGTGGTGTGCATCTGTAATCCCCGAAAGTGGGAGGTGGAATTAGCCAGAAGGTCTAGGGCCAGCCAGGCTGGAGCAGTCACTGCAGCAGAAAGGAGGGCAGAGTGTCCCTAACAAAGTGGAAGGCAGGACCGTAGCATATACACAGCCTTCCTCCCTCCCTCCCTCTCGTTCCCGCCCCACCAGCTCCAGCTGTTTTTATTCTATCACTTTGTAAGTAGCACTTTCTGCCCATTGGCCTCCTTGTAGAGGGCAAACAGCTCATCGTGAGTCGTGGAGGTTGCTTTCCTCCGTGGCAAA